AACCAACAAATTATGCTTGATCAATATGACATTTTAAAAGGCTAGTCGCAATTTTCATTTTCTTTCTTTTTTTATGTGTTTGTAAAAGAAATAATTTGAGTGAATTAACTCAAAGTGAGTTTTTTTTAGTTAACCAAGATTAATTTAGAAAAAGTGGTATAGTTAGTTGTTAGTGGGATTTTGAGTTTATATTAAAATAATATTTAAAATAAAATAATTAAAATTGGTTTGATGTAAAAGTAGGGGAGAGATGATATGAAGTGATAATTAGTTAAAATTATGTGAGTGGGTGAATAGTGAATTAAAGTTGATATGATGTGTAAAAATGATTGGTTGTTATTATTTAATGATTGATTGTTATTATTTAATTATATTGATAATATTGAGGATAGTGAAGTTGAGTTAGATTTTGAGTATAAATTAATTTGGTTTGAGATTTTTCTTTTACAAACATAGCCTAAATGTAAAGGAAAAATTACAGACTATTTTATAACACCAAGGGGTTAAATTTCGGACAAAATAAAATCTCCATTTCGTTATTATTTATAATTGTGAAAGAATGTTAGCCGTATTAGTTTATTTGGATTTAATATTGTGGTGAATGTGTTTAGGTTATGAGCAGGCATTCCTGGAAAGATCAGTCAGCCCAGCCCAAGGTAAAGTACTTTACTCAGGTGAAAGCCCGACCCCCCACATTTGTGGCGTTTGTGAGCGGGAAGGCCCGACTCTCAGAAACGGACCTGAGGTTCCTTACAAAGTCACTCAAGGAGGATTTCGAGTTAGGAGGGATTCCAGTGAGAATAATGCAGCGTGTGGTGGTTAGGAACTCTGAGGGTAAAGACGTCACAGGGAGGAAAAGCACACTGCCGGGCAGGAAAGTGTGTGAAAGAATGGCGTCGGCCAAGAGAGGGATTGTCTCTTCGGAAAATGTCCTTGCTGCATGAAGGACTAAATGTGTTTCTTTTTTAATTATGTGGTCTGTCTTTTATTTTTGTCTGTACATATATGCTAGAAAAGTGCAGATTGGTTTTTTGTGAATCAGGATGCTTGAAATGGGATTAGAATTCTGAATTTGATTATTGAGTTAATTGATAGAAAATATATTAGTGTCTGGATATATTATTTGGGTGATTTATTTAAAAAAAAAATTGAAAAATAAGTGGACAAAAAAAAAAAAAAAATGGGTGGACTGAAATAGAAAGCCCGTATTTAACAAATACGTTTTTCTAATTTTTTTTTTAACGAAAAACGTATTTCGTAAATACGTCTTTAAATTAAATTTGTTTACTTTTTTAAAAAACATATTGCCGGAAAAATGTATATACAATTTAATTATAAAACGTATTCACCAAATACGTTTTACAGAAAACCCCAAATTTAAATTGGAAACCCTAAAACCTAAATAAATCAATTTTTGTTTTATAAAAAAAATCAATTTTCGTTTTATAAAACGTATTTCATAAATACGGTTTTTAATATTAATTAATTTTTAACAAATTAAATTAAAATAAAACGTATATAAGAAATACGTTTTCGAATTAAATAAAACTATAAAACGTATTTGATAAATACGGTTTTTAAGAAAATATAAGTAAAAAAAAAACCTGGTTCTCTCCTCCATTTCCATTTCCATTTCCATTCGTCATCTGTGCCTGCGAGCTGGAAAAAAAAATTCAGTTACCTCAAAATTAAAAAAAAAAAGCTTTTAATAATCAATCGATTCGGAGAAGAGGTTAGTTGTTATTTTAATATAATATAATTACATATTTTTTTTTGTTTATGAATTTGTAAGAAATATTTGTTGGTTTTTTATGAGTATAGTTTAGAAAAGATTTATTGTTGATTTAATAGTTGTGTTAAATGATTATACATTGTTCTTTGATGATGGATTTCGGTGTATGTTGGCAATTATTTCAAAAATTGGATGATTTGTATTGTATTGTTGGATTATGACAATTAGGGTTTGGAGAGTTATTTTATAAAAGAACATTTGATCTTTTTTTGTTATTGTAGTATTAATTGGAAATACTTATCTTGAATTGAGTAAAAGAATAATTGAATTTTTTGGAAAATTATGTGATGTTGTAATTGGAAAGAATTGAAAGTGTTTATATGTTATTGATGAATTTGATTTTTTTGTTGTGTGAATGATAAAAGAATAATTGAATTTTTTGGGTGTTGGGTTAGAAAGTATGTGTTGTTGTAATTGAGAAGAATTGTTTTTTGCAACAGGTATAAATGGCGTCCACCGGACCATACTTTGTTAATGTGTATTGGAATGTTCCGAAGGAGTTGTTATATGATTTTTCTGATTTTAAAAACTCTCCGGATGGTTCATTTAGCATTGGGGAGAAGCTATCATTTAAAGAATTGGTAGATATTATTTATGAAAATTTTGGGTTTCATCGAGATGGTTGGATAATTGAGAAGATTAGTTTATTGAGTAGGCAACGCGATGGTTCGTGGAATATTGGAAACCTGAATACTGATAGTGCTCTTGACTGGATATATTATTCCCCTCCTTTCTCCTATGTGTATTTGCATTTAGAGTTGAAGCAGGTTACGCAGGCACCTACAGAGGTTACGCAGTTTGAGGATGTTGCCCCTTTTTACGGGGGAGTGGCTGATGTTGAGGGTACGTCCACTTCGCATGTTCGTAATTTTGGCGAAGGGACAAGCTCAACAGTTAGAGAATGCGATAATGAGGGTGATGATGATTTCGTTCGCGGTGAAGACGATTTCACAGATGATACCTCGGAAACGGAAAGATCAATAAACGAGGAGAGTGAACCAGAATTTATTGAAGAACACCCATTTCCTAGTACCGGTCAGCACGTGTATCGCGAGATGGGTGAGTGGGACCCGTCGTGTGTAGACCGTGATGAGTATGCCTTGCCAGTGTGGGATGGGCATGTCGATACTATCCGTTTGGGTACTGTTTTCCGGTCCAAGAAAGATGCACAGATGGGTATCATGAGTTGGAACGTTAGTAGGTTGAGGGAGATTAAGACAACATATTCGAATAAGAAAACATTCAAGGTGGTGTGCACATCTAACGAAGATGAACCTTGTCCGTGGATGGCTCGGGTGACGCACTGCACACGGGTTCATGAAATGTGGGAAGTAAGAGAATGGACTGAGAGGCACAGTTGTATGCAAGAAGTCGAAAAAAATGACCACAGAAATGTAACCGCCACAATGATTTCACATCTTATCATGACCAAGATTCAAAAGAAACCCGAGTACAGTGTTACCCTGATCCAGGAGGATGTTAAAAAATGTTGGAAAGTCGATGTGAGCTACAAGAAGGCATGGCACGGGAGGAAAAAGGCCATCGATCGTTTGTATGGCACTTGGGAATCGAACTTCGCACAACTCCCTCAGTAAGAAAAACGCTTATTAAAAATGTACGTGTTATTTGTCACTATGTTTATGTATTGACGATTACGTTTTGTAACGTGCAGGTTTTTTGCGGCGCTTCAAAGTGCGAATCCCACTACGGTTGTAGAGTGGGAATGGCAAGGTGGGGAAATGGCGGCCCACTATCAGCACAGAGAATTCAAATTTGTTTTTTGGGCGTTTGGTCCCGCCATTCAGACCTTTCAGAGATGCCCGCCAGTAATTAGTATGGACGGCACACATTTGCGTGGCTCGTACAAGGGGAAGTTGCTCGTGGCCGTTGCACAGACTGCGAATAAGCGGCTATTGCCAATTGCCTATGCGATTGTCGATGAAGAGAGCCAGGAAAGCTGGTCATTTTTCCTGACAAATCTCCGGCAACATGTTGTCGGCGACAGACAAATATGCTTTCTTTCGGACAGGGATGCGGGCTTACAGAGTGCCGTGGAATCATTGGAAGCTTGGCAAGAACCCGCTGCATATCACCGGATTTGTCTTCGACACCTTCGGAGCAACGTGGTTACTAGGTACAGGAATAACAAAATCCGAAATTGGTGTTGGGAGTTGGGTTCACAGCTTTCAGAGAAAAAATTTGAACAGATACGATCGCGGCTTTGGGATTGTAATCCGGACGCATACAATTACTTGTTCAAAATTCCTCTGGACAAGTGGACCCTGTTTGGAGACGGTGGACGTAGATGGGGTACTTTGACAACTAACATGTCCGAGAGTTACATCAACGTCCTGAAAGGTGTTAGGTTCTTGCCCTGCCGAGCTTTGGTACACGCCACATTCATGAAAACTCTAGACTTGTTTGAGCAGGAACAGAAGAAGTCCACGAGATGCAGTAATGCCATTGCTAGTGTCCACTATGCCGCTTATTGCGAATTGGAGAGTACGGCCGCAACTCATACGGTGCGATGTTCGAACGCGGAGAGATCCCTGTACAAGGTGACAACCGGTCTACGGGCTGATGGTAGAGGGGACAAAAAGTAAGTATACGGTTTATTTATTTATTGTATAATTCATTTTTTTTTTATTTTGGTTCATTCAAATTTTTAGTTGTTTATAAATATAATTAAATGTGGAAAAACAGGTATAAGGTTTCGTACAACCGGATGCGTTGTAGTTGTCAGAAGTGGCAGACACACAGGAAACCATGTTTTCATGCTATAGCTGTGTGTCGTGAAATAAAAGGTCAACCAAGAACCTTGTACGATCCCCACTTTTGGACGGAGAATTGGGTGGCTCAATTTTCTAATTGGAGTTTTGCTCCGATTGGTGATCCGGACACATGGCCGATGGTTGGATGGACCTTACTACCACATTGGGAGAGGATTATCACGAAGGCTGGACCCGGTCGCGCGCAGACGAAGCGTCATCGCATGCAAATGGATCGTCGGGCACGCCGCCGGAATGATAGAGGACAGTGTAGTAGATGTGGTAATCCACAACATTTTGTGGATGACTGTCCAGCCTCGCATCCTCGCACTGATAGATCTAGACTCCGTGATGAGTGGAGAAACTAGATTTGTTAGTGTTTATTTTTTTATGTTGGACTGTTTTTTTATTGTTTGCTTTGATTTGTTGGACTGTGTTTGGATGAAATATTTTTGTTATGTTGGACTGTAAATGAGTTGATTTGTTTGTGTATTTTTGGTATAGTGGGTTGTTCTTAATATTTGTAACAGGTTTTAAATGGTTAAACAATAGAAATAA